AGGGACCTTAGAGCGGGTCTGAAAATCCCCTTATACCAGGGCAGCTACGAAGCCAGAGATGGATATAATAGAATAATTTAGATTAAAACCAGAATTCATCAATGATTTATAGATACCAACTGATTGCATGGCTAGTCACTTAGAGAATAAATCTAGCCTTACAGGCCAATGCTTATTACTTGGAAATGCAGCTTTCAGAGAAGCAGCAGCTGGTGCCTGTTCCCATTATCAACCCATTTCAGTTGCATGTTGCTCCCATCCAATTTCCCTGGACAGACACTCAAAGAAATTAAGTTTGAGTCGTATTTGCTTAGTCAATCATTTCAGTCCACAGCAGGGTTTAAGTCTTTGCTCATTGCTGCTCTAAGCTAAGCCGATGATCACTTTGATAATGTTATGCAACCAAAACAGAGCTTTTCTGCAATCACTCATTCTCTAACTGTTTTGATGCCAACATTGGTGCCTGCCTGTTATTTTATTATAGAGAAACAACAATGGTCACTTGATTAAGGATTAATAGCTAACAGGGAAAATCACCTAACAGACCATCAGCTCTAACTGGTTGGCTGTATGGAAGATCACTTAGTGTGTTGGGTAACTCCGTGTATTAAGAGCCTCTTTGTTTGCTGGGTTACCTCATCAAATCAGTGTTTTGGTACGAGGCTTAAAGCATTCTGTACTTTTTGTGTGCACAAAAGGATTTTAAAACCCTGGAATTGTATGTGCCACAGTGCATTTCCAAAATAGCAAATGGTTTACATGCTTTAGCTCAGTTTGACCTTGATTATATAAAATACTCAGACTGTATCCCTCAATATGATTTAAGATTCAATGGAAACGTCTCTATGGATACCACCTCTGCCAGAAACACTGCAAAAAATGTAAAACTAAATAAGTAAAACTTCCTTGAATTAAGAACATTTGTTCTTGAATGGAGCAGGTAAGTGACACAATTTGCCAATTGACAATTGGACAATTGACAATTGGACAATTTACATTTAAAATAAGAAAAAAACAACTGCCTTCTCTTATTTCAAGTGCATAATATGTGATTATTTTATTTTAAGCTAAATACACTCTTTCCATTGGCAGATTGACCCATTTACCCACTCAAATTAAGGGTAAATACACTTATTTTAAGGATATTTTTACTCATTTTAGGATCGTTTTTGCAGTGAAGCTGAATCAAGCCAGAAACGTCCAACAGAAATACAATAAATAACAATAAATGGAGAAGGGCTTTTCTTAAGCCTTTATAGTGCAAGTTACTGTTTTAATAATTTACATACCACTAACAAGTGAAGCCTTCCTACCCGAACCCTCAGTGACGTCTAGAGGTACAAAATTTATATCAAACCATTCAGTGAAGGTACTGCTACATGACTGGACATCTTATTTTGGACTTCGAAAAATTAGATGGACACTGAATGATTCATTACCTACTGTAAATTAAGTTGGAGAAAAAAGTTAAATTAAGAAAAAGGTTAAAAGCTAAGCAACAAAGTAAAAATGTTAATTGAAAAGTTAAAAGTAGACTTAAAAACCTAAGTTAAAAAAGTAAAAAAATTGAGCACTATCAGCATTAATGCCTGGTTATGATCTAACAACAAACATGTTTCTTTAACTCTGTGAGCATCTGGGTTCATGAATTTCATATAGAAGCACTTTTGTTATTTTTCTTAATATATTTGGGCAAGTGGCCGTTTCTTGTTATTTCATTGACATTAATTTTTGCCATCAAAATATACAAATTTTTTGAATGTTAAAAAGGTAGTAATGTCTTGTCCTTGATTCCAATAACACTCTTGACTTTTTCCAAAGTAATTCACTGAGTGTCCTATAAAGGGTTAACAGAGAGATGGATTAGGAAAAGGAGTTTAAAGTCGTTGGGAAATCATATTTAAATGTTAAATCATTTTGGCTTAAACATGTATATAAATGTACTCTTTATCAGAAAATATTGGCCCAAAATGTAGTAAATTTATATTTTAAAAAATAATCCTGTCTTAAAATTTGTGTTTTTTTCGTTATCTTATGCAGGCCAGTTAGTTATACGTCAGCCTGAACACCTAAATTCGGCCAATCATATATCAACGGTCATCTGTCAATCAAATTTTCTCGGTCATAGCATCTTGATTCATATGTTGCAGCTAATATATGCAACGGGTGAAATAAGAAATTAGA